GAGACCTTTAAAAGGGTGTGTAGCGGGGTGGTTACCCTGCTCTGGCCCTGAAGGGCTTAAAACAGCCCGGGGAGAGGGCTGTGGCAGGGGAAAAGCTGGGCTGATTGGGAAAGCAGCCACAGCTGTAGCCAGTGCAGTCAGGGCCCAGCTGGCCCTTATAAGAGGGCGGTGGGCCAGAAGGAAAGAGACTCTCTAGCCTCTTGAGAGAGAAGGACCTGGCTGTCTGGGAAGCTGAGGAGGGTACCTAGGGTGGAGCAGTGCTGGGGAAGGGCAGAGGGAGCTGGGAGCTCCAGCCTAGCAAAACCCCAGGCTGCAGGCCTAGTTAAAGGCCTATAAAAAGGTACTGGGGCTGCAGAGGGGCAGCCCAGAGATACGCAGAGGCAGCTGGTCCAACCCCCCTTGCCGATAATGAGTGGTTCATAGACTGCAGTCTGCCCCAGGGAGCGGGGGCTAGATGATGACTGGCAGGAGCCACTGAGGCAAGGGAGGGATAGAGGACTGGGGGCTCCCCTGGGAGGGAAGACCCAGGCTGAGGGGGTACTGCGAGGGGGTAGAACCCTAATCTAGAAGGGCACCGGGGTCTGGGAGGGATATGTGGGCCAGCGACAAGCGAGTCATTGCCCCACGACAGGGTGTTTGCCCATATATGGCCAAAGCAGCCATAATTAGGGCATCACCCTAGAAGGCGAGAGAACTCCTTGAGAATGACGGCCTGAAGAATATGAAGTCATTGCATCAAAGGAGTCTCAACACACCAGTGATGAGGAATAGTATCGGGTGCTGTCTTTTCTGTAGATTTCCTTTGCATTTAACCTTTGTGTGACCTCAGGCAAATCGCTTTATGCCTCAGTTTTTGTCTGCAAAATGGGGATGATCATACCTGCCTGTGGATGCCTTCATTGTTTTAGCAGCAAAGAGTCCTCGGGCACCTAATAGACTAACAGACGTATTGGAGCATAAGCTTTCGTGGGCAAATACCCACTTTGTCGGATGCATGTATTCACCCACGAAAGCTTATGCTCCAATACGTCTGTTAGTCTATAAGGTGCCCCAGGACCCTTAGTCTGGATCTGTAAAAGCGGCAAACACAGCTACCCCTCTGATCCTTCATTGTTTTAGCGGCGCAAGGGCCTGATTCTGCAGTGCTCCCACAAAACGCCTCTGAAAACCACTTTCAGTTCTGTCGGAGTACGGGTGGCAGGACTGGGTTCTAAAAGTATTCCAAACTTCAGTCTCTACCCCTGCCTCTTTCCAGCCTTTCCTAAATGTCTATAAAATTGGCCTGTCTGATAGGACCCCTGAGAGAATAAAAACTCATCAGTTTGCCACTTGTCTTGTTTCTATAAATCAGTCCATCATAAGGAGGCTACTTGTGCCAACAGCACTTTCTGTTCTCAAATGTTAATCCCCAGAGCATCTCGGTCATCAGCTGCAACACTACAAAAACCAAGCCACAGCTTTTCGGAACATACTTGGGCAGTCGGGACAAGTGGCCACAACCCTCTGAGAAGGATGGTGAACAAGTATAGGGTCTGCCCCCCTGAATAAATCTCAGTAGATTGATATCCCTCCTCCCCCCTCCCGGTCACTTGGTTGTAGGGCATTCCTAAATCAACAGCAGCAAAGAGCCTCTGGCTACTCACTGACTCCAGTGTGGCTGGAAGTTGCATGTTCATTTTGAAACAGTAAGGGAATAACCTCCCATGTGCTGCTTGAAGCTAAGTAGATGAGACTGACTGTCTCTTGCTCCATCTGCCCAGAGCAAAATGCTGCTAAGCCCTTTTAAAGCTACAGTAGCATTAGAAAACAGAAAAGGGAAATCTGAAAATTCCAGAGATCTTTCTCATGCCATTTACAAGGAGAAAAGTAGAAGAATCCCTCTCTCACTAAGGCCCTGATTCAACCGTTCACCCCGTCACCCTGCTTTTTTCATTGTTCTTAAGATCCAAGGGTTTGGTTCTGTGTTCACCTATGCAAATTGGTGAGGATTTTTATCAAGCCTTCCCCAGGAAAGGGGGTGTAGGGTTTGGGGAGGATTTTGGGGGGAAAGACGTTTCCAAGCGGGCTCTTTCCCGGTTATATATCTGTTAGACGCAATAAAGTCCAAGGAAAAAAAGTAAAATAGTTTGTACCTTGGGGAAGGTTTAACCGAAGCTGGTAAAAATAAGCTTGGGGGGTTTTTCATGCAGGTCCCCACATCTGTACCCTAGAGTTCAGAGCAGGGAAGGAACCTTGACACCATTTAAACAAAACAGAATCTAAAACATCTCTAGCTAGATTACTTACTAAGTTCTAAGACTCCATTTCTTTTCTGGTCCTGGCAATAGCATCACACAGACAGAGAGAACCCTTTGTTTCTCCCCCCTCCAGCTTTGAAAGTATCTTGTCTCCTTATTGGTCATTTTGGTCAGGTGCCAGCGAGGTTATCCTAGCTTCTTAACCCTTTACAGGTGAAAGGGTTTTTCCTCGGACCAGGAGGGATTTTAAAGGTGTTTACCCTTCCCTTTATATTTATGACACGCCCCTGAAATCTCAGATAGGGTGAAACGCTGACTGTGATTTCTTCCTGGAGCTCCAGGGGAAAACAGAGTTAATAAGACACACACACACACCCCTCTAAATAAACTACCTAGGGGGTTTTTCATGCAGGTCCCCACATCTGTACCCTAGAGTTCAGAGTGGGGAAGGAACCTTGACAACCCCTATACAGCAAAGTACTTAAGCACATTTAAGTTTCATTAAAGCTGATAGAACTGAAGCACAGACGTAAGTGGTTTCTGAATAGGGATGGATGAAAGCACATGCTTTAAACCGGGAGCCTAATTCTCGCTTTACTAGAGTTTTAAATTTATTTTATAAAGGGAAACTGTGTTCCTATCACCTACCAGAGAATGGGGTAAAGATTGTTCAAAAGCAAACACGCAGTCAGGGAGGTTTTAGGTTGCATAGTTTGGACATCCAAAACCTACCAACTCCAATGAGCTAAGTTGAACTTAAGGGATGTAGCTTTACTGGAATTCAAATACAAATGTCTGAATGTTATGTCCGCACCACAGGAGCTCTTCATGCTCCGTGCAAGTGATGGTAGAAATGCTGGAGAGGAAATTGTTTTGATTTATCCTCAATCTACTCTGATTGTTTCTGTAATAGTAATGGTGTTAGGGCAAATAACCAGAATTGCAGTATATCAAATCTTTTCTGCCAAAGGTGAATTGGACAAGAAGGCTCTATTATACACCACACAACATGCAAGAGACTTATTCAGCCCAGGTATGTTTCTACAGCTGCTAATTTCCTTTCTCAGAGCAGCCCCACGTCTTGTAAATGCAAAGTTAGGTTTCTTCCCCCCTTCCTTTCCCTTCCCTTTACTTGCTAACCCAAATTTCCTCTTCACTGACTACCAACAGCATAGCCAGGATCCCTGGCCTTTTGCACTCAGCCTGGATGTGCAGATCTGGAATATGTGTGACCATATGGCCGTGGAATGGGCCTGAGTCACAGTTACACTGCTGGTGGGGTGTAGAGACCTGAAAGGGGACAGAAATCCTCCCCTGAGAACACACCCCTGTGCAGAGGGTTTCGCTGGCAGATATAGAGCTGGCATAAGACAGTGCCCCTGCTCCAAACCCTCATTGTAGGTGTACTAGGGGCATTCCGTGCTATTCTCTGCTTTCCAGGGTCCATGTGGGGGGAAGGGGTGCGCCTGGAAAGCAAAGCATAAATTGAGCGGCCTCAAAGCATGTCCTCAGGCCACTGTAACTTGCACTCTAACTTGCACCAGAGGACGGGCAAGCCCCAGATGACAAGAACAAAATATCGGGACGCCTGGAGGGCAGCCACAGGCTCATCCCCCTTCCCCCCCACCAGGGCTGGCTCTAGGTTTTTTGCCTCCCCAAGCAAAAAAAAAAAAAATCCGGAGTGCTGCCGAAGCAAAATATTGGGACAAATGGCATCCTGACTATACATCGGTCGGGACACAGGACAAATAACTAAATATCGGGACATCTGGTCACCTTAGGGGGAACACAAAATTGGCCAGCTTTGCACCCTGGCATTGTCCCTACCCCTGTCACAGAAACTTAGTAACTGAGAATCAGGCCCACTATTTCTTTAGAATTGGGCTCTATGTTAATTATGATAAATGCACATGATTAGTTACTTTGCAAACTTAAGATAAATAATGTAGGTTTAGAATGGGAGTATAATTCAGAGTTGATAAAACTATTCCTGGACAAATCAAATTAAGCTCTTTATGGCAGCTATTCAACCACTTCTTTTCAGATGAGACTGTTGCTTCCCAGGGTGAAGGCGTGAAGACTGAAAAATGTGTATTTGTATAGCAGACAACCCCCGCTGACCTGTTTGAGGCAGGGAACTATGCTATTAAGACACAAAAGAGTAATTTGAAAAGCCACATGAAACGGACTCATTTAACAGAATGGGGAAGGGCCTGCCCTTGATCAAGATTTAGGAAGCAAAAACCATGAACACACTGGGGTGGAGGGGACTATTTCTAGGTGACTTTAAAAGAAATCCCTTGTCTTGATAGCTCATGTCACACACGGTTAACTCACAACTGACTGACCAAAGGCTTTGATTTAACATGGCAAGATGCAGTGTACCAGAAGCGTAACCACATACTGTGCTCTGCTGTTCCTCTGGCTAAGATCTGCCATCCTCACTGCTCGAGGCTGCCCAGATCAACATCCTAGCCACAGCCAGGAGACACCTGCTCCTCAAGGGCCCAATCCTGCAGCCCCTTACTACAATAACAATTTCTCCCATGCCCAATCCCAGCAAAATCCAGGGGATTACATGTCTGAGGTAAGAGTCTGTGGGATTAAGTCCTAAAGGAACAGCGTGGGCCTGATTTTTCACGAGCATGGAGTTCCCTCAACTCCCGTGGGAGCTGCAGGTGCTCAGCACCTCTGAAAAATCACACCCTGAAGGTCAAATCCTCAGCTGGTGTGGACAGGTGTAACTGTCTTGCAACCAGTGGAGGCGCGGGCGTCACTTCCTGCCTTTCTCTTAGACTCCAGCGGGTGCACGTGCGGCCCTGCGAGTAATTTTTGTTTTTACCGCTGCCTTGTGCCAGGCCGCATTACCATGAGCTTGCCGCTGAACCCCAAGCCCCTCCTGAACGGGCTGACAGGGAAGCCAGTGATGGTGAAGCTGAAGTGGGGGATGGAGTACAAGGGCTACCTGGTGTCTGTCGACGGCTACATGAACATGCAGCTTGCAAACACAGAAGAATACATAGATGCTGCATTGTCAGGACACCTTGGTGAAGTTCTGATAAGATGTAACATTGTCCTGTACATCAGAGGAGAAGAAGAAGAAGATGGAGAAATGAGAGAATAAGTTTATATATTTCTGGAAAATAAAGATCAGTTTTCACCAAAAAAAACCCCAAAAAACAAAAAAACAGTGGAGCTATATGTAAAGATCCATCACTGAAGAGCTGGCTCTAAGTATCTGTGAATTCCTGCCCATCTTTCCTTTCTTCAGTTACTGCTTTACCAGGATTCATTAACACACCTCATTGAGTTCAGGTAGTCTGACATCTGATCCCTTTCCTAATAAACTCCATGCTTTATTGGTAAGGCAGCAGCCTTCCCCATCCCCAGCCACTCTCTCACCCCCAGTTGATTCTTTTGTGCCATGGTTGCTAAAGCTATTAATTCATGCCACCTGAGCAGAGGCAAAGAAATTAATATGCAAATAACAAAGCAAGTGCCCTCTTCAACATAACTAATCTATTCAAATGCTCTGAGCGGCTGGACGTAAAGCTTTTCCATGGGAAATTAAATATTAATTTGGTGATTATGCCCATGTTTAGAAAAACTAGTCACCTCGGGCCCAAACCTGCAACTCCTTGCCCCCATGAGTAGCCCTCACTTGCAGCACTACATTTGTGAGTAGGGTTCACAAGTTCCAGTCCCTAATAGGTGGGCAAGCACACAGGCAGTGAGGTCATGTATTGGAAAGAGACCTCCTTACCTGGAGCCTTTACCAAAAAAAAAAAACAAAAACAAAAACACATGTGAATTCAAACTCTAAGGTAGAATCTTTTCACTAACTCACATCTTCTAACCTGGGGTTGGGCCCCAAAGGACTTTGGGAGGAGGCAGAGGAGAGAAGGACAGAGGGCAAAGGAAGCTGCATGTTTCCCTGGATCCTTCCCCCACACATGCACTGAAAATGTGCTTCCACGCAGATGGGTTAATGAGTCCTTGAAAGTCACCTGCCTTCCTTCTCTCCTTCTGCAATGCCGTTTAATGAACTAGCTCTAGGAGCTGCTGACAGGCATAGGGCCATGGGCTGAGGCTACAGCTTGCCACCCCAGGCCTTTCTGTGCTCACTCAGTGGTTAAAGTAAGGGCTTCTCTAGACACAAAAGTCATACTGCTTTATCAACACCAGTATATGATAATTAAAGAGGTACAAGCCTCTAGTCGGGGTACCATCATACTGGTAGAAAAGGGCTGATTCAGTATCGTGATGGTGTGGCGGGGGAGAGGCTATACTATAAAAGGCACATTTATCCTAGTGTAACTGCATCCACTCTAGGGGTTGTGCTGGTATAATGATTTTGGTAGCAAAATCCCACCCCCAACCCACATAGTTATACTGGTACAAACTGTATAGGCTGGGCCTAAGCTGAAACAATCACACCCCAATCTCCTCACACCAGCTAAGGATGAGGGGAAGCGCTGCTTGGATAAGCCAGGGAGAGGAGGGGCAGCTCCTCTCTGCTCCCCACTCCTCAGCCATGAGAGTATGTGCCTCACAGCCCCTGTAGATGCCATATCCTCCCCACACCCTGAGCAGCATGTAGCCTTTGGCTGAGTGGGGGAATGGGGGAAGGGAACCAGAAAGAACAAATCCCAAATACAATAGGTTGGGGGGGGGGAGGAACTACACCGCAAAGGAAAAGAAACGAGTGGGAGTGGGGAGGAGCGACAGGAGGGAGTGGAGAGAATAAAAGGGGAGACAAAGTACGTCAGGATGTACCATGAGGGGCGCAGAGTGGGGGGAGTGTCTCTCCACCAACCCATCACTGGGGTGGGGTAACAATAACAAGTTGGGGAGCACTGAACTAATGTATTGGAAACACTCGAAAGAAAAAAGCGGAAAAGGTGCCATATTGTTTGCTATTCTCTGGGAATGCAAAATGTCAGCATGGGATGGATAGACCCCAAAAACAGTTTGTGCATTGAGCCAGTCATGTACAAGCATGTCAGTCAGTGGGAAACCGTATGTTGTGATGGAATTTATTTTCCCACCGGGTAGCTTGCCAAATCCTTGACATCGTAACAAAGTGTTGTGCTTGCTGCCAATCATCTCCCCACCTATCAGTGTAAATGTACCATCTTTAGCTTTGGTGGAGTTTGAATGTACATATTATTGTAAATTGAAAGCAAAAGAAACAAACGTGAATCAATGGATTACAGTGTTATAGCACAATACAGGGTACCAGTGTTCCTACAGTGGTCGTGATACATGGTAGTGTCTTAGGCCCCAGTCTGAGATTAGGGCCTGTGCCTTTAAGGACTGAGCTTTCCAGACAAAGAGTCTGGGCTGGGTGCTATGACGTTCTTGTGGTTACGCACAGCCAGTGTGAATCAGATATGGTATAAAGATGTTATCTAACTACTGATAATAACTGATTAACTCTCTCTATAGGTAATGCATATGACAAAATATGTGATGTAACATATATTTGATTTAGCAGCTTCCTTGGTTTTATATCAGTAATTATGTCCCTTTACTGTTGGTGGAGACGGGATTCCTGTTTGACTCTAACTCTGCCATGTGTGAAAGTAATGGAGTCCTTTTAGCTGTGATGGTTTTACTTGTCTCTACTTATTGTGTCAATGTCTATGCTTTATTTTGGATGCTGTTATTTTTCTCATTTTTATATCTGGTATGCTATTGCCACTTGTACCCATGCAGAGACGAAGGATTGGGGTCTCAGTATGTGTTTGCATGGATCAGCTAGCAGAATCTAGCCCTAACAGTAAAGGAATGGCTAAGAAATGCTGGGCATTCCCATTTTGAATTCCTGATCTATTTCCCTGTGGTATGCATGTATTTTATCTAGTCATCCCATTCATGCTTTGGTGCCAGGACTAGTACCACAAACAGGGCTTCCATTTCCATTTCACCAAAGTCACCGGATGTGTCTGCTGAGTAATGGGAAAGTCTGCAAATTCACTTATGTCAGTATTCTTGTATAGTTATGTCCTTTGTAAAGTCCTTTGAGATCTACTGAGGGAAAGCGCTATGTAAGAGTTTACATTTTATATGTGGGGTCTCCGGGGTAGTCTGCATGTGTCACTGTCTTTGGAATTCCATGGGTGTTTGGTGCCTTGCAGGACTGGGCACTTACTTGCTGGACATGTACTGTATTTATGCTACTTCTTTAACTGTATCGCTGAATGTATTAACCTTATTTTAGGATATTGCAGATTATGTACTATATGAAATGTATGACTTTTAAATCAAACTTTGTACTTTTGGATAATTTAAGCATTATACTCAGATGTATAGACACTCTTTCCTTAACCTGAGTATTATCTAATTTTAACGTTAGCTTTAATACAAATTTCCCTTCCACTGTTACTAACAGACAAGAGCTTTCTCCCATTCCACCATAGCCAAGGTAGTGACACTCATTAGAATTTTCCTCGTCAGTACTTCACATCTCAAAACACCCCCGTGAGGTAGGTTTGTGTTATGAGCTCACTGACACTAGTACTGAAACTGAGGTAGAGAGGTTAAGTGATTTGCTCATGTTAGAGCTGGGAGTATGATTCATGAACTTCTGTTTCCCAGCTCTGTCTCAAGAGTAGCAGTAGGTGAAGAATGCTCTCCCTGGATGGCAGAGGAGATAGAATGCAGGCAATATCACCTCTGTGCCTCCTTTCATTACAAATCAGGGGAATAAGTCATTACAGCCCTATTCTCAGCGGTAGGGAACTTCTGATCAGGGAATAGGTAGAGGGCAGGAAAAAGCCATGGAATGAGGGATTACGGGAAGGTGTTGGAGGACTAGCAGCCCTCAGTTGTTGTGTCCTAGCGCTAGAGAGAGCCTGAGTGAGCAGCTATACTCTGCCCCGTATTCCGGATCATACTGCTAAATCATACAATTGTCACCGCTACATGTGAGTGAGAGGAGTTTGTGTCTGAAAACTGCCCATGAAAAGGATGAGAAAAAAATCTCCCAGGGCAAACTTGATACAATTGCACTTTTTATTTATCAGAAGAACAAATGAAACATCCCAAACAGGCACTAAATCCAACAAATGAAAAAAAGCTATCTGGAGATCTAAAAATATTCAGAGCATTTCACTGGGTACACAAGAAAAAACATCCCCAGGGGTGTGTACAAGAAGTACCATGCTTATTTCTCCTTCTCCCCAAAGCTTGTCCTGGTACTTGGAAATACAGCTGTGCCAGGCTGTCTCAGGGAAGTCTATTCCACCTCACACAAACTGGTATTTGGAACTGGGTTTCTATATGGTTAAAGGGATATTTGGCTGAAAACAAAAAGGAGAGAGCTGCACACACACAAAGGCAGGTGCTAGCTTCAGTTAGAGAGAGAAAAGATGAACAGAGTGGCTTGCTTTAATACACAAAAAGAAAAGGAGTACTTGTGGCACCTTAGAGACTAACAAATTTATTTGAGCATAAGCTTTCATGAGCTACAGCTCACTTCATCGGATGCATGCTGTCGCTCACGAAAGCTTATGCTCAAATAAATTTGTTAGTCTCTAAGGTGCCACAAGTTCTCCTGTTCTTTTTGCGGATACAGACTAAGACGGCTGCTACTCTGAAACCTGCTTTAATACAGTGAGCCTTACAACTTATAGGGTACGTATATATCCATTACCTGTGGAGCTGATTCAGTCAGTCCTCACTGCTGAGCTTTGCCTGGGGCCTGGCTTCTGATATGCAGAGTACAAAGCTGCTGGGGCTGAGAGGGGAGGAAAAAATCGGACTGAGCATTTCTTTCCTTCTATTCATGCTTCAGAGGGTGGAGATGGGAGTGGCCTGAGAATCTGCACAGGAGCCCTTGGGCTCCCAAGAAATATCTTGTGCTTATGGCTAGTTCTATTCTTGCTCAGTGATAGATGGCTTGGCCGCTCTGTCACAGGCAGACACATAAGTCATGTATATTATGGAGTGCAACCGTTCATTGCCACAAGAAATATTGTCCCCAGGAAAACTAGCAGGGTTTGTGCTTCTCTTTAAAGTTGTTATTAAGCCCTGTGTTCACACAGTGCTGGATCTCTGTCTCTAATTGCACCTGCTGGGTGAGAGACAGTCAAAGCAGGCCTACCCTGGGAGAAGATAGGGATGCTGTGAGCGCTGAGGCAATTGGTTGACCAGTATGTACAGATGTCAAATGGCTTGCTACTGCACCCCTGGAAACAATGGACAGATAGTAGCAGCTATAGCCAGAGCAGATGAAGCATGTCATCCAGGAGTGCTGCCTGCCTGCTTTAGGCTCTTCCAACCCCTGCACATGTTCTGCTGAGAGAAGGCAGGCCTGGATGGTGGCTGTTGATAGCATAATTCATGTTTATTTACAGCTTGTTGTTATTACCACTGACTTGATATGTATGACGTGTT